AGATTTCTGGGCACTATGACATGTACTTCTTCATAGGTTATAGGCATTTTCAAATACAAATTTTCTAGTTTAAAAGCAAATATAAGTAGTGAATGGAAATTATAAATACAAACTGTTAAATAAATCAAAATTTCTGAACATTTTATATACATACTGTTCTGGTTACTTAGTGCCACTCTGACAAGAAATATACCACAAATGAGATGGCCTTAATAAACAGGAGTTTATTCTTACAATTTGGATGTTTTAAGTCCAAGTTCAAAGTGCCAGGCTCCAGGGACTGGGTAAAGCCCCTCAACCTTGGGATCCAACTCTGCCTCCTGCTTCTGGCCCACTGGAGCTAGAGACATTTCTTCACTCAGACAGCTGCTGGCTGCTGAGGCTGAGAAGCCCCAAGGTTGTGGAGTAAAAAGGCACAGTCCTGATATTACCAAACCACACAGCAGGCCATTAACTTAAGCCCATTGTAAGTCTCAATGTCTGCAGAGCATAGCAGGCTGCTGAGCAATAACAGGACTACATGCAGGGTCCAAGTGTTCCATAGGCTAGAGACCAATCCTATGGCTTCTGCTTATATACAGGAAGCAGACCACATCCCAAAGACTCGGCTGCTTGAGGTAGATCCCACCATGGAGTGGTTTCCCAATCTCATCATGGGAAATAACTACCACCATCTGCCCAGCCACTCAACCAGACCCAGAACATAACTACCACACGTACATACACACACACACACACATATATATATATATATATATATATATATATATTTATGTATGACTTGACATTGAACTTAGAACACACGGGTTTTTTTTTTTTTAACCTGTGGATTGAAATAGCACAGCAAATAAATGTACATTGCCTGGTGTTTCTATGAGGAGATTGACTGGAAATCTCCCAAAGGCACACCAGAAATAAATGGAAATATAGCTCAAGAGCAGCAGCATAAGGTATGAGTTATTAGTGCCAAGGATACATATCATTGATCATTATAGGTTAATAAGGTATCATGCAAACTGCAAGCAAGTTTCCCTGGAGAATCATCTTTGCTTCTCAGTCTCAAAGGAAACTGTATAAAATATGGAAAGTGACAGCAACAGCTTTAAAAATATAAGAGGAAGGATTCAGACATGAATTTCATTGACGTTGTCCTTCATATCGTGTGTAATAGCAGTGATATCAACAGAAAACGTTGGGAAGTAGCAACATTTTAGAATTTCTAATTCAAATAGGTAAGTCGGAATACTGGGTGTTCCTGGGAAATAAATGTCGGGACGGAAAAAAAAAAAAAAATCCCAAAATGAGTTATATAAGACCAAGTGAAGAAAAAAATATTGTCTAAGGGTAAGTAGCTTTCAAGCAAATAGCTAATCTATGCAATCTCTAAAGTCCCTTCAAACTACACACTTTAATTACTTGAAGATTTTTCTCACTCAAGTTTTTTTTTCAGAATAAGAATGTAGATCATTCTGTTTAGGGTTTCACTCTCTGTCTACATAATATTTACTGAGGACTCATGTCTGATCCCATTGCCTGTGATGATGATGCTTATTCAAATGGCAATTATCAAGAATCAAAATAGTGCATTATACTTTCATCATTTTTAAACATTGGCAAGGAACTAAATATAAGTCATATTTATTTATAGCAAAGAAAGAAGTGTTTCATTTAACATCCTAATAAGTAAATTACAAAGTTAGTATATCATAGTCAATCATCTGGCATAAAGAACCATAGCTTGGTAATTGATGCCAAACACAGATGGCTGAGAGAGTCATCTTTTATACATATATATATGTGAGAAGAAAGACACATTTCTTAAGTTCACTAAGCCTGTCTTGCTATATATAATATGACACTAATACAGTTCATAGCCTAAATTGCTGCTGTGGCATGGAAATGGGATGCAACTATATTATCCATAGCATTTAAGAGAGAGGCTGCACATACTCTGCCCTAAACTAAACTAATAAACTCATTTTAGAGAAGGACGATTCTTGGGAAGCTTAGAATTTAGTCTCTTCATTTTGCAATTGAAAGAACTATGAGTGTAAAGAAAATTTCTAAAAGTAAAATAACGATGGCTGTCTTTTATCAGAAGGGGTGATGGAGACTGCTTCTGTCTTATTTAGGTTATGCTCATTCTGATTCCACATTGCATTTAATTTAAGTCAAGTGCAATTAGTTTTTAGGCATTATTATTGATGTCACAAATAGGACATTGGAAGTGGCATTAGGAAAACTATTCTGTGTCTCTATCACACAAATTCAGATTCAAATTTTGTCCTTGCATTAGAGGATAAATGAGAATAATCTAAAAAAAAGCATAAAGGTCAAACTTCCAGGAGAAACAATTTTAAAAAATCACATCTGATGAGTGGTGATAAAGGGTGCAGTGAAACCTACCATATAATCATACAAGTTCTGGAGAAATTAATAAACTGCTTGCTGAAGAGTACTGCATGGTGGTCGGGGGAGGCCCTTCACCCACAGCATGGTGGAAGCCTGGCACTGCTTGTCTTGACCCAGTGTCAAAACCATAGACATTTGACTCATTCCATCTTTCCTTTTTTCTACTTCAGATAAAGCCTATACCAGGGATTTTAATTTGAAATAGTCCTTAGATGAGTAAATATATTATCAATTGCCTTCATGAATTCTGTGCTTTGAAATACAGAAGTAAATTATTAATGTTCAAATGGATGCCATACATAAAATTTGTAAAAGGCACTACATCTTACCTAAAACAGGTTTGAATTTCTGTTTCTCATGAAATTGTGCATGCTTGACATCTTGGAAAAACTTAAACTTGGATCTCGTCCTTGTAATTAGAAATTAGCTACCAACGTAAATGTTCTACTAAATGACAAGGGATCTATAACTAAATGTTTAGTATGTTAATGAAATCTTGTGATTCATTTCTACTTTCAATTGAAATGTATTTGTTTCATAAGAATGTTCCTATTTTTTATTCTTTCTCAAGGGGGCTGGTGAAGCTAATGATTAAGCACTCCTTGGCTGTAAAGTGAAAGATTGCAAGTTCCAACCCACCCAATGGCTCTGCAGGAGGGAGACCTGGTAAACTAGTTCTGTAAAGATTAAAGCCAAGAAAACACTATAAGACTGTTCTATTGTGTCCTATGGGGTCACTAGGTATCAGAAAGGACTTGATGGCACCCAAAAGGGACATTCTTTCTAAGGCACAGAGTTATTCTTCCTCTATGAGGGATTGATTACTGCCCATTAAAGATATTTAGCATTACTTTATTTCTACTTATTGTAATCAATTTTATTTACACATTTTTTTTTTAAGTGTGCTTTCGCTCTTACCTTAAAAGCAATGCAGGCATATTCTAGGAGTGTGTGTGTGTGTGTGAAAATGGAGTGTATATGAGAGTAGCCTGTGAGACAATGAGTTAGGAAAGGTGGATCATTTTCTCTCTATTCCATATTCTCCTAATTGTCATCTCTACTGCTGCTATTTTTTACAGTGATATATCTGCCCAGTTATGAACCTTCTGTTTCACTTTTCTTCTCCCTTTTACATTAAAATTTCATTTATTTCCTTTAGTTTCATATATTCAATAGTAAAATTAAATTGAAAATACTAATACTATAATACTAAAGTTATTGAGTATGACAAAACAGGTTTTTTAACAAAAAACTATTCTGTGACTATCTTCTCTCAATTTAAATTGCCTTTCATAGTTACTGTGCTATACCACTGATTATATTTAGAAATTCAGCTAAATATTTAGGATCAATTTTGAATTAAAAAACCCAAAAAACTCACTGCCATCGAGTCGATTTCAACTCATAATGACCCCTACTTGTGTTTCTGAGGTGGTATCTCTACAGAAGTAGACTGCTCAGTCTTCCTTCCAAGGAGTGACTGGTGGGTTAGCAACGTTCTAGTTAGCAGTCAAATGCCTTAGCCACTATACCACCAGAGTATGGAAAATTGTTCTTTAATAGAACTCTAAATATTTGTTGATAAAATCTGTATTTTTAATAGGTACAGATTTTATAAAAAAAATAAGTACAGTTCCATTAAAGAACAATTTTACGTAATCTTTCTCTAATTGGCACACTTGATATATATCATAGTCTTGCACATACTAAACCTATTGTGACAGATTTGATTCTGACTCTAGTGACCTTATAGAGATTTCCAAGGTTATAAATATTTATGGAAGCAGACTGCCACATCTTTCTCATGGAACAGCTGCTAGGTACAACTACCACATCTTTATCCTGGAACTGCATTTGTGTCTTAGTAACTAAAACATTAAGAAGATCATAACATTCTGAAATGCACTGTTGTTGTTGCATTTTACCTGACGTTGAATCAGTTCTGATTGATCCTATGCACAATAGAATGCAATATCATCTGGTCCTGCACTAGCCTCACAATCACTGCCATGTTTGAGTCCATTATTGTAGCCGCTGTCAATCTGTCATTGAGGGATTTTTTTTTTATTTGCTACTGTTATACACTGCCAAACAAGATTCCCTCCCACTCCCAGACATTAAAAAATGCAATAATAAAAAAATTAATAAATATAAGAAGCATCACAAAACCTGATGTTACTTGGTAGATTCTGACTCATGGTAACCACCTATGTTACAGAAGACATAGGATTTATTTGGCTATAATTTTTATGGTGGCTGATCTCAAGGCATTTCTTCTACTTGCTGGTTTTGAACCAGCATCCCTACGGTAAGTAGTTGAGTGCAAAACATTTGTGCCATATAGGGACCTAAAATGCATTCAAGATTTATCATATTGTGTTTATAAATCATGTAGAATTTCACTCTTGCAGAAAAAAGAATTGAAAATCTGAATGTTTTATCAACACAACATAGGTGAATTCTTGTATGAAGAAGAAAGTATTATTCAAAGGAACAATGGCTTAGCTGAACCTGATGTGTGTCCTTAACTTCCTTGATACCATAGGAGGCAAAATACAATGAAAGCCACGAATAACCACACAGTGGTGATGGATTTCTTCCTCATGGAATTTTCCAACACCAGGGAGCTCCGGGTCCTGTACACCTTTCTGTTTTTGCTTATTTACTTGGAGACCCTCATGGGGAATCTTCTCATTATCATCCTTGTCTCCCTGGACCAGTGTCTTCACACTCCCATGTACTTCTTTCTCAAGAACTTATCTTTTCTTGATGTTTGTCTCATTTCTATCACAGTCCCAAATTTTATTCTGAACTCTTTATCCCACAGGAGCATCATTTCTTTACCAGGGTGTGTGTTACAGGTCTTGCTGGTGATTCACTTTGCTGGGTCTGAACTTTTCATCCTCACAGCCATGTCCTATGACCGTTATGTGGCCATCTGTCATCCCCTGCACTATGAGACCATCATGAGCAGGGGAGTCTGTGTGCAGATGGCAGCTGCCTCCTGGTTTACTGGGAGCATCTTTGGGGTCCTTTACTCAGCTGGAACTTTCACTCTATCCTTTTGTGGCTCCAGGAAACTCCCACATTTCTTCTGTGATGTCCCCTCGCTATTGAAGATTTCTTGCTCGAAGACCCATATCATCATCAATATCAGCATTGCAATTGGGGTCCTCTATGGACTTTTCTGCTTAATTTCCATTAGTTTTTCATATATTTGCATTTTCAATACAGTGCTGGGAATGCCATCACTGCAAGGCCGGTCAAAAGCCTTCTCCACTTGCCTCCCCCATCTCATAGTTGTGACCACATTTTTTATGACAGGTGCCTTTGCATATTTGAAGCCAGTCCCTGATTCCCCACATCTTCTGGATTTTCTGGTGTCTGTCTTCTATTGTGTGGTGCCTCCATCTTTGAATCCCATAATATACAGCTTAAGAAACAAGGAAATTAAAAGAGCTTTGTGTAAGATTTTATGGAATTTAAGTCACTATACTTTGCATGGAGGAAGGAACAACAGAATTTGCATGTAGAAAGATAATTTTTTTTTTTTTTTTGTGGTTACACAAGTCCGTTGTGATATCTTACTACCATTGAGTGATTTGACTCATATTAGCCCCTCTTAGGGTTTCTGAGGTGGTATCTCTACAGAAGTATATTTCCCAGTCTTCCTTCCAAGGAGTAGCTGGTGGATTTGGAACACCAGCCTTCTGTTTAGCAGTCAAATATCTTAGGCACTACACCACCAGATCTCCGTTGTGATCTATGGTAAATAATTTAGCATTTCTGACTCTGTTAACCTTATATTTATGATATATATTTCTAGACTTGATGCATTCATGAATGTTAATCTTAACTGTGTAAAATGAACATCTGTTAATTAAGTGTGGTCCCTATAAGGCAGCTTCACAGTTACACAGGATCATAAACTATGTGGTAAGTAGAGTGCTCTTCTCAAATATACCAATGTCCCAATCCATAGTACCTGTAGATTTTACCTTCCATGGCAAGGAAAACTTCAGAGATAGGATTAAATAAAAGATATTGAAATAGATTATTCTGGATTATTCACGTAGGCCTAATGTAATCACAAGGATCCCTAAATGCAACAAAGCTTTACCAAGAGAGGCCAAAGGAGATGTCTCTAAAGAAGAAAGATCCCAGAGATAGAACATTGCTGGCTATGAAGATAGTAGAAAATCATGAGTCACAGAATGGGGGTGGTCTATAAATTGAAAGTGCAAGAAAAAAGTCAATTTTGCCCACAGCCTCCAGAAAGGAACTTGACTTTACTGACCCCTTGATATTTTCTGATACTGAGACCTAGGTCATATTTCTGGCTTAGGGCACTATAAGATAATTAACTTCTATAATTTTAAATTGGGAGCTCTGATAGCATAGTGCCTAAGGCACTTGACTGCCACCCAAAACGCTGATGGTTCAAACCCACCAGCCAATCCTCAGAAGGAAGTTTGGGCAATCTACTTCTGTAGTGCTACTGCCTTGAAAACCCAAGTAGGGGGCACTATTAGTGGGGTCTGACTCAATGGCATATGACAGCAAACCATAAATTTTAAGTAATTTACTACCACAGCAATAAAAAGCCAGTATAAACCCAAAACCAATGCCTGTAAATTTATCTTAAATACAGTTTGTGATACAAGACATGTATACAGACCATGAAACTGCAAAGTCTTAGTAAAAATTGATTAATATCAAAAAGAACAAACATATCTAGATTCAAGGTTTTCATAAAATAACAGAAAACTCCAGATTTTCTATTTTGGTATGTGTCAACTATTGTGTTGTTGCTGTTGTTCCATGCCCTATAGTTGATTTGGACTCATAGCAACCCCGTGTGACAGAGAAGGAATGTTCCATATTGTTGTCTATGCTATAATCTTTATGGAAGTAGATCTTCAGTTCTTCCTTTTCCTATGGAGCCACCAACCTTTCAGACAGCAGTCAAGTGCTTAATTAACTGTTGCACTACAAGAGCTCATTATCAACTATGATGTTACAAATAAATAAAAATCCATTAATATATTAGTTTTGATTTTTATT